TGAATTTAAATGGCCTGGTAGTTTGGAACTGAAGACACAGAAATTATGCCTGTCCTCACCAGAGCCTGTACAGAAGGCACTAACAAAGGGCACAAACACCCTGAGCTTTCCGTCATGGGCCTGCAATCTGGGTGCCATCTGAGGAGCTGCTGACCACATTGAGAGGAGCTGGGAGGCCTGGCTACTGGGGAGACCTGCGGCCAAGGGTCAGACAGCGCTGGACAAAGATGAGTGCATTCACCACTTCACTGAAAGATTTGTTTTAAAAAACCAACACAGGACATTTTACTTTTTAAAGAATTGTGTTCCCTTCCCTCCCTCCAACACATAATTTCTGGTTGGTAATTTTGAATAAGCCGATTTTTAAATGTTCTACATTAAAAAAAATAATAATAACCTAATGACCATCTCTTCAAACAAGCCGTTGCAAAATGTAGTCTAGTGACTAGTGACGAAAAAGCACAGACACAAACAGTTAAACATTAGTAATGAGATTCCACACACACAAAGCTATAACTACATGAACATTTCAGCCAGAAAAGAAAAAAACAAAAGAAAAAAGGCGCGAGATGAGAGCAGTGGGCGGCCCAGGTAGACTGATACCCATTTTGTCCTGGCATCTCTCCTCTGGGGGCACTCATCTTTAGCACTTCAAGGAAATACTCATTCCTATGGTTTTGGAAAAGGAGCCAATTAAAGATTGGTAATGTGTGAACGTTCCGGGGAAGGAGAGCCTGTTAGATGTGAACTGGTGAGAATGCACAAAGTCTAGGAGCCATGGAGATGTGAAGGGGCACCTGCGGGTGGCTGTCCCACCAAGTGGAGATGAAGCGGTGCCCACGGAGGGTGGGTGCAGAGCAGGACCACACCCCGTGGCTCCAGGCCCGGCATTGGAAACCTTGATGTGCACTAGCCACAATAAAGCCCATGCGATGAAAAGCGGACAAGGGGTAAAAAAAACCCGATAATTACGACTGCTGTGCTCTTTGCCTAGACAGAGACGCTTCAAGGCAGACCCTGCAAGGGAAAAAGAAATGACACAAGACCACAGGATTAGGCAGGACAGCAGACACGGGGACAAGCCACCACACTCTAAGCAAAAGTCATCAGTGTGCGAGGAGGAGCAAAGGCCAGCAGTTCAGAGAGAAGGGATTAGCCGCCTGGGCTCACTGGGCGTCCCCGAGTCAGTGTGCAGTTCACCCGAGCTTCGCCGAGGGGCGGAGGTGCAGGGCCAAGCCCCAAGCTTCAGATAGAAGTGTGTGTGTCTCTAGAAGCATATTAAAAAAAAAAGAAAGAAAGAAAGAAAGAAAACGAAAAAGAAAAGAAAGTAAACAACAAAAAAAGGCAAAGCACACTGCTTGGCTTTAAAATATAGGGCTTTCGGAAGCCCCACTGGTAGAGGCAAGAAACTCCACTAATGTCAGCCAGGAGAATGCTCACTGCAGCAGGACCTGGCTCCACCTGGCCAAGAGGCCCATGGGATGTTTTCCAAGTGCAAAAAGATACATTGTTTATGCAGGTTTGAGGCCAATCCTGGGTCTCCCATAGCTGCCCTGACTAGGCCAGTGGTGGGCATCAAGGAGGAAATACAAGGGGTCCTATCTAGAGAGGTGAGAGGCAGGGCTGATCCATATTCTTTGCTATACTCAGCCCCACCTGGTATTCCCTATCCACCAGGGCAGGGCGAGGCCTCCTTCTCATTGGACCACCATCAAGGGCTGTTGGACCCTGCGATCTCCAAGGCTGTCCATGCTGACAGACAGGTGACACACTGGCTTTAATGCCTGGCATGACCTAACAGTCAGTACCCATCTGAAGGGTAGACAAGCTGGCCAGGAGGGACTGTCACACCTGGCTTACTCTGTCTTCCCGGGAGCTGGGCAGACAGAGATGGTACAGGCAAAGACATCTCAGGCATCCCCAAGGTCACTCAACAAGGCTGCGCTGCTACCATGAAAGGTCTGTCTGTGCTCCCGCCCATGGCCCCTCACCAGGAGCACTTCACCTTGCCCTGGAGGGCATCAACAACAGCGCCATCCCAGCACTCTAGCCAAGGAAGACAAGCCACTGCCTCCTGTTAGAGAACAGGGGGCAAAAGTCAACCCAAGCTCCTTAGGGGAAAGCTGTGTGCATTAGACTCGAATCCAGTTGTTCTTATTTAGTTCATCCTCTGTGCTGAGGCTGACTTGAGAAAGGGAGGTGATGGTCTGCTGGATCTCTAATGTGCAAATGAAAACAGAAGGGCCAAACAGAAGCCGTCCGGACCACTCAGCTAACTCTCAGTGTGGCTGAAGGGCCTTTACTGGTCTATGTTTTAGATGGAATCCTGGGAACACAGGGCCCTTTGGCACCAGGGCCCACACATGATCCACATGGCAGCCACACAAGGCCCACACAGGACCCATGGGAGGCACACACAGAACCCACACAAGACTGACAGGAAGCCCACAAAGGGCCCACATAGGACTCGTACAGGACCCACACGAGGCTACCTGGGGCCCACACGAGACATACAAGAGGCCCACATAGGGGTCCACATGGGGCATGATGGTTTAAATCAGCCCCACCCCTGGTTTCCTGTGGAGAATGGAGATCTCTCTATAGGTCCTAGGAAGTTCCTGGCCCCAGAACTATTTGGGAAAGTGACCACATAGGGCAGCACACAGGATGACCTACAGCATCTTATCCTCGTGTAGCATGCGTCTACAGGAGCACCCCACAGAGCAACAAGCCTCCTGCCCTCAACAGCCAGACCAGGCAGCACCCAGGCCTGCAGTAAGGTGAGGCCCCCACACTGCATGTTCCCATATTCACTCTGGCACAGAAACAGAGGCTGCTCCTGGTGTGGATGGCCATCCTACTGGGCACCTGCCACCTCCCAGACCTTTGGCTGGTTACCAGGAGAATGCCTCAAATTCAGGGGTATGTGATGGGGACAGATTGCTTAAAATATGGGCCAGGCTCTAGAGCCATCCCCACACTTGCCATTTATCACAGTGTTCAAATATTGATGAAGGTCACACGGAACTGAGGCTGCAGCCTCAGCAGAGACCAGCCAGGGCTCCCCACCCCCATGACGACACACATCTCCAGTGGGTTGGCCTTACCCCAACAGCAGTATAGGCACTCAGTTCTGGCACAGAGAAGAAAATGTATTGAGCCACCAAGTTCTTAAGCTGAGAAAAGTGCCAAAACTTATCTGTGAAGCAGGAACTGGGAAGCGATGCGTCTTGGCTCTGCCCTGGGGTGACTTCACCCTGAGCATCACTGCCCAGGTTGCACGGTTCCTGAAGCACAGGGGCTGGTTCCTTGGACAGCCCGCTGTTCAAGCTGCACACAAATTCGGCCTGGGTGGGCTTAGCCATGGTGGGGGACTGCATAGGAGTTGGAGTTTCCTCCCTGGGTGTCCTCCCCTATCCCAGGGCCCTCTCCCACACCCACCATGGGGGGTCCCCACAGGGAGGGAGGGCAGGGCCTGGGGCGGGGCTGCACAGTGGTAGTGGGGGTCCCAGAGACAAACTTGCTGTATTATAAATGTTAGGCCCACTGATGAAGACACGTGAGAAAAACACAATGGCTCCATGTGCACAGAAAGAGAGATCCTGGAGGATAATGGCATCTGCCTCTGGTCAGACAAGGAGGAGCCAGGGAAGGGGAGGGTCAACGGGTCTAACAACAACTTCTGACCAATACGACACCAGGACACCATCACTTTTGCAACCCAACCCAAGCTGCCCAACTGTTCAACAGTGCAAGAGGGGTCCTATAGGATGGGCAGTGACCTCAGGGACTATCCTATCCCCAGGGTCTGTAATGCCTCAGGGTCTGGCCTTCCCCTGGGTCTGCCCATGAGATAACACGATTGTCTGGCGCCTACCCCAAAGAGGTAATGAGGCTGCAACCTCTCCATTCTCTGTGACCCAAGCCTGGTCACTTCTCCAACATGGGGTCACCTCCCGACCCCCTGGAGGCTGCCTACAGCTCCACCCTGGGCACCACCACCCAGCCTCTTGTATCTTCTCTAAGTTTCAGAGAACTGGGATTTCCTATACTTCAGATTTTGTTTTTGTGGAGCCTTGTCTCCTGTTCCTTTCAGGACAAGAAACTAAAAACCTCTCCAGCTTGGGCTGGGCCAGATGCCCTGTATCCCACAGCCGTGGCTCTTGGAGCCCAAGCTCCAGCTCCCTCCTCCTCCTCTTGTGGCCAAGCTCTTGGCCCTCCCAGATCAGCTCTGAACTTTCCTGAAGTCTTTCACAGGTACATGCTCTCTGGTCACCTAGAAACTAGCAGATAGTGGCTCCAGGAGAAGCCCCAAGGGCCAGCCAAGTGGATACCGGACAGGAAGGAGCGGGTGTGTGTTCTGGCTCCTCCACCTCCATCGGAGCAACAGGGGTGCTCTGAGTCTTCACACCAGCCTAGTCCCCATGGATGTGGGCAAGAGAGCCAGCGCAGGCCAAGCACTCTCCTCACCAGCAACTTCAGAGCATGTAGAGGCCATACTGTGGCCTGAAAAGACTAGGGACTCAGCCAAGACAGCCTGAAAACAACTAGACTGTGAAAAGAGCAGTGTCCTTGTATTCACAGTGTCAGAAGAACCAAGGCCCAGTAGGCTGACATGTGCTGCTGCCTAAAACCAACCTGCCCGAGGCCAGGTCCCCCACCTGCCACCAAGCTGTGCCTCACACATTCCTTTCCTCCTGACCAACGACAGAAGCAAAATCTTAACTCTTTGTCCCTGCTGTGCCTCAAATTTTTCTTTTATTTTAGAATAAGTAATAGTGAAGCAAAATAAAACCCTTTTCTAAAACAAAAAACAGAACCAGGTATAGAGTGGTGACAGCCCAAGAGATAAGCATGGTGCTGCTCACTCACATGTTTTTACCCCAACTACCCAGGGGAAACCATAACCTGCTCTAGCAAGCTTCCTACATCTGGCCAGCAACCCTCCCAGCAGGGACACAGTCACCTGTCTGAGCATGAAATGCCTGGATACCCAGATGCCCTCACACTACAACCTCCCGGGCGATAGCTGTACACATACGGGCAGAAGATGAACAGTGAGTGAGCAAGGAGCCAGGACGCAGGCCTCTTCCCACCCCACCACTCAACTCAGCAACTAACCAGCAGCCCAGTGACACCTGAGCTGAACAAGGCACTTGTCAGGAAAAGAGGAGTGCTGGGTCCCCCGCTGGGCATTTCTACCTAGTCCTGGGCCTCTGAACCATCCCACCTGCCTACCAGGGGAGGATGCTCTGGGCCCTCTGACAGGGACAGATGCCTACTGTGGCCTCAGGTCCCAACAAGCACAATGTATCTTTATTGTACAAGTAAAAAGCCATGTGCCCCAAATCAGCATGTCCAATCCAATTGGTAAAAAGCTTAAGTTTTCTATTAAAAAAATCAAAATCTGAAAAGCCCACAGCTTTTGATTAATTTGCCAATTGATCTGAGGGATGAAACAATTTTGGACAGCCCCAAGCAGGTATGCCATTCCTGGACATGAGTCCTGGGTACTAGGATAGCATTCCAGAGACTCTGAGGACAACTGGGACTAAGTTTTGGTTTTGCAGGGCTTTGAGAAACTGCATAATTGACTTCATCTCTGAGGTCCATGAGATGAGAGGGAAACACACCACGTAAAGTACAGGAGCTAGAGAGAAGACCATGAGGGGCTGGGCCCATATGTGGAATGCAGCAGGAGGCTAGTAGTCACCTCTCCCAGTACTGGAGAGAATTCAAGGTGAACAGAGTGGAGAGAGGGGCTGAGGCATCCTAGCTGGAGCCCATTCTCAACATTTCCACATGCAGGGAGCGGGCAGGGGTAGACAGTACTGGATGTTGTGATATAGCCCTTATACAGAAGTTATACTCTCCAGTGACCTTCTAGCACTGTTTTAGTTTGCTACATGCATGTCTTCAAAGTCCAGACACATGTGAAACACACCATGCGTCTAGAGAAGGCCGGGGTTGTCTTTTTGTTGTCGCTGGAACTGGGGACAGTGGACGTGTGTATTTGCCACAATCGCAACAGAAATAAAACTACGTCCAACATAAAAAAAAAAAAAAAGTGATGAGAGAAACGCAGAGTGCCTTGGGGGTCTGGGGTGGAGCACTGAGGTCAAGAGTGGGCAGGCCACTGCACATGCTTTTGGTGCCCAGGCAGGAGCCGAGAGCATGCACTGGTGCTTTCTGGGGCCAGATGCGTGGGCATGGACAGGGCTCCGTTATTTATATTAAATAGATGAGTTCAATGGGGTGGGGTGGCATCCTATAAAATGTGTAGAAGGTAATGAAGACAGGGAGGGGGTGGGGGAGAAACCAAGGGCCAGGAGGTGATAAAATACAAAAGAACAAATACAGACAGATGGACACAGACACAGGTCCACTGAGGAATCGAGCGCGAGGTTTGCTATTAGACTTATAGGTCACTCTCTCAGACGTTGGGTGGTAAACCGTCCAGCCTGCAAATGAATATAGAGGGAAGAAAACAAAGAGACAGGAATCAAGTACAGTCTATGGGCTTCCTCCTACACCACCAGCCACATCAGCCTCGTCACTTAGCATCCACGGCTGCACCTAGCCCAGCCTAGAGGACCACAGCCACTGACCACATAATGGAAAGGAGGAAGCATTGGAACAAAAGAGAAGCGAACCCCGGGAGAGGGTGTGGGGTGGGGCAGGGGACCAGACGTGGCAGCAGTCACCACCGTGTCTCTGGACAGACATGGCACGGGTGAAGCACCTCATCGCACGGCTGCTGCGTCCACGGCAATTCCTCCTCAAGGCCAAATTCCCAGCTCAAGAGCTGTGCCCTTGTCCCCCCAACGGCCCTCCTGACAGAAGGACCTGTGTTTAGCAGGGGGCTTGGACAGGGGAGGCCAGTGCCTGAGATCCAGCACAGAGCACAAAGCAGACATCACATCTGACCTCTCAGTGGTCCTGGTGCCTTTCCCAGGTCGCTCTAGCCAAGCATACCTCCCTCTGAGCCACTTACAGTAAGACTCAGTAATAGGTGGGTCATCCACTCTTTTCATCCAAAGGCTACATCTATGATTACTTCTTTAAGAAGCATTGGCCACAGCTCACGTCCCCTCTACACCACATGGGCCCTACGTGGCTAGCACATGCTCGGAGACGGGCAAACTGAGAATCACCTGGGCCATGCGCTCCGCCTCCATCACTGGCTAAGCCGGAGCAGATGTCTGCAGACAAGGAGGCCCGCACGGAGCAAGGCTGCTGGGTCTGAACTGCCTTCCCACACGGGTCTGATGCTGCCACGGGCCCCGCCCCAGCTTTGGTGGGGTCCTTAGCAGGAGGGGCTCTGCTGCAGTCTGACAAATGACCTGGGTGGGGAGAAGGGGGGACAGGCACCATGAGGCGCCACAGGACAGACCAGCCAGTGCAAGGTGTATCCATCCTCCCTGCTCTTTGCTAGGTGACCTTGAAGAAGCTGAGTCCCATCAGGCAATGGGTATGTGGCTGGGTCAGAGTGTTGGGAAGAATAAAGAAAATGACCACTGTCTCCACTAGTCACCAACACTGTGCTGGGCCTGTGTTGTACAAATACAGTGAAAGGACAGCACATCTGGAGATGCACATCTGGGCTCAAAGTGGGCCTGTAAACTTCCTCCTCACTCTAATTAGTCTCCTGTTAGCTTCAGAATTAGTATGTAATTCATATAATTCTTGCAACTCAAAGATGTGTACCCTGCAAGTCATATACAACACTAAGAGGGATGGCTTATGGTCAGCTCACCACCAGCTTCCCACCTGGTGCAACTGAGGATTTCAGCTCACTGGATCTCTATTCCAGAGTGTAGAGGCTTGGGTCAGCAAGCATCCCCAGTTGCCTGGGCATCATGGTTAAGGGCAAGGGGTCCTACTACCCTATCCTCTCCCTTCCCAAAAACAGCTGCTCAATCCCCACTGTCAGCAGGTGATATATGTCTGAGAATCAGGGTCAGAGGAAGCAGACCTATCCTAGGCAGTACCCTGCAGGGAGGAGTAGGTAGGGGAGAGCAGCCCTCAGCTCTGGAAAACCTGAGCCTCCTCCACCTCTCTCGCACACTGTAGCCCATGGGTGGCCGAGGGCTCTGAGCAGGCCTGCCCACTCACAGCCCTTTCCTCTTACAACAGCATTGGGGAAGAGGCCCTAGCCCTCTACAGCCCACATGGCTTCCCCATTCCTAAGAGAACAGAGTCAGGAAGCACTTTTCAAGGTCTGGGTATCTGCCTTTCATCTGCCCCACTCCCGGCCCAGCCCCTGCCCAAGGGTGGCCAGGAGGGCACAGGGCCAACCTGTGCTGGAGGCCACGACCTTGAGCTGTTGCACCAGTGGGTTCAGCAACTTCCCCGCCTTCAGCTTGCTCTTGCTGGTCTTTCTCCGACGGCCAGCTGGGGGTGCTGTATGGAAGAGCCCCAGGTTGGGGGGTAGTGGCTTGCCCAGGCGGCGGTACAGGGCCTCGATCTCTTGCTTCTGCTGGCTCTGCAGCTCTGAAATTTCCTTCAGGTGTCTGCAGGAGTGCAGAGAAGGGAGGGCAAGTGAGTCTGCTGGTCATTTCCAAACCACATAATGCCCCTCTAAGACAAGGGTCTAGACTAGTATCAGTCCATGGTCTGTTAGAAACCGGGCCACACAGCAGGAGGTGAGCAGCAGGCAAGCGAAGCTTCATCTGTGTTTGTAGCCGCTCCCCAATGCTAGCATCACTGCCTCAGCTCCACCTCAGATCATCAGGCATTAGATTCTCATAGGAGCGCCAATCCCTCATGCCAAAAAGGTTGAAGACCGCTGCTATAGGAGAGTCCTCGAAGGGTGTTAGGAATGGGGTGGGCAGCCCACAGGAGGGGACACGGGCCTTTCATTTAAATATCGCTTTCTGTTTCTTTACACCTAAACTAAGTGGGCATTACAGGGGGCCCCTGGCATCAACACCCAATGACACGAAGCTGCAGAAGGCCAGCCTAAGTAAATATAAGTTTTCCAACATCCAGATTCATAACACGCTGTATTTTTTATTACTTTTTTGGAGGGGGGTATGGACAACTTCACACATTTATGCTCAAAATACAAACCCTGAACATAAACATAGGCGAAAGGAAAAAACAGTATTCAGAATTGGGAGGCTGCCTTGGTTTACCAGGTGTTACTTCCTCCACTGGAGGGCAGATAGCACCAGAAGCCTCTCAGATGAGAGAATGTGGCAGGTTCAAGTCCAGACACAGATTGATAACCAGGGGCCTGGGGTTCTGGTTGCAGCCCCTCCTTGCCATGGGGGCTCCCAGCTCAGGCAACATCACCCACAGGGCACAGAGCTGAGGTGACAGGCCACGCAGGTGGGAAACCTCCATTAAGTTCTCAGTGGAAGCACTGGCTGTGTGTAAGGGCAGTTTCTAGGACAAGGCAGAGAAGAGCCAGCGGTCCCTGCTGGTCTCCCTTAGGACATAATGGCCGAGTCCCTGGCTACCTTCCTCGTCTGCCTCTTACCGTCTGCAACTAGAGTGGTACTGGGCCAGATACCATCCCTTTAACCAAGTCTCATGGGCCTCTGCCGCCCTGGCCAGAGGGCTCAGCCTCTCAGCTTCACTCCAGGCTCATCTCTATGTGTGCTTACTTGGGAAACAGGTTTTTTTTCATAATTGGACAGGATGAGGCAAGTTCTGATTTTACCTCTTGGGTCTTCAACACCGGCCTGGTTTATTTTAGAAAAATGACTCTCTAAACAGCAAATTGCTATTGCATCAGATTAGCTTCTGACATGATGAGATGTTCTGAAGTGAAAGCTGTTTGGAGAGGGGTGGGGGATACTGAGTCAGCTGGGAAGCATCTGATTTAGAAGGACCTAGGGGAGATCCCCAACTCTGAGTCTCCTGCCCCAAAGCTCATCCTTTCTTTCCACCCAGTCCCAGGGGCTGAAGCCGGCCTCTCAGAGCATGAGGCTCCCAGGGACTCTATGCTGCAAATACTGGTGGGATGAGGGGAGACAGGCACCCAAGCCTCCACAGGGTACCAGCAGGTCTGACACAAGCAGGACTACCTCCTAACTGGTAGCCACCAAGTCTCATCAATTCAGGGCCAAACCTTGCCCTCTTCTAAATGGTCTCTCCAGTCTACTGGGTTCTACGGCCTTCTTATCAGGCCAGAGAGCCAGCCCCTCTCAGGCTCCTGGAACCTTTTCCTTTGTGGTGTTTCTTTGCTCTCTCCCTTCCCCTCCTCTGGCCCCACCCCTTCACCTCCAGGCCACACCTTTTCCCCCAAGCTTTAGGCACCCATCACCTCTGACTCTGGCCCCTTCACTCCCAGGCCCTACCTCCTCAGAGCGCAAAGCTACTTCTTCCAGGTTTTCTCCCTCCCACCCCTCCAATTTCCCTCACCGTGGAAGGCAGCTGCATCTAGGCTCCCCTGGTCCCCTCTCATTCCT